AACCCTAAACCCTAACCCCACTTGTAGCTACCCGTGAACCTCCAAGTTCCCTTTCCCAGCTCAGCCTCGGGACCTTCGCGACTCCGGTGTCGCCTACGAGTTAGGCTAGGGTTGAGGGTTTAAACCCTAAACCCTAAACCCTAAACCCTAAACCCTAAAAGTTTAGGGTTTAGGGTTTAGGGTAGTCTGCCTAGTTCGTGTGTAGACCGCAGAGTTTGAAAACGCGATCCGCCCCATGGGGCTCCTCTGTGCAGCTTTGGCAGAGTAGCTTAAGCTTCCGAAGCCCACTGTTTTGGGGTTTAGGGTTTTGGGTTTAGGGTTTAGGGTGTAGGGTTTAGGGTTTTGTAAAGTCTTATGATAAACTCTAATATGCGATTTATGGGCACCCTACAACAAAGTAGGTTCTGCTAGGTGAAGGTGTACAGCAAATCCTATTCTACCTTCCGGGGACTCCACCCAAGCTGTAGGCATGTGGCGTGGCTGTTTTGGCAAGCTGCTATAGCGAGCCATGAACCATCTTCCTCTCTGACCACCATGACACCAGTAGGAACCCAAGAGACGTCGGTGAGGATCCAGAAGAGTTCGAGGATGAGAGCAACTGAAAGGCCTGCGGACGTCGGGGTCCACTTCTGGTTTCGGACCTCCGTCTTAAGTTGTACCCCCAAACTTCAAGAATCTACCCTTTTAAGGGTCCTTATGACAAAATCATAGCCATCAACCTAAGGAAACCCCGATGAGGACCTGGACCCTGCAGGACCCTACAATTTTGTAACTTACAAAGCAGGTCCTACTGTTGATTACATCCATCCTACATTACCTAAACTATGGGAATTATTGGGTATTCCTTCTTATGGGTACTGCAGTCAACCGTATAGGGTCCAGGTCCTCATTGCGATCATCGCATACCTGAATCAATCCAATGGGAGGGTCTGCGGTTCCTCTATACCTTTGCGCTTTGTCTTCGGAGGTGACCTGTGTGGTGTAGGGTCTAAGGTTTAGGGCTTAAGGGGTAGAGCGTAGGGACGTTTAGGGATTAAGGTTGCAGGTTTAGGGTTAAGGGTTTAGGTGTATCCTAGTGACTGAAGAAATCCCAGGACAGCAATTGGCCTGATTGATTAACGGAATCACCAAGCCGTTATGCGAGAAGATAGGAACGTACTGAGAACCCAGGGGAAAGCCCAAGGAAATGGTTAATCGTGTAAACGAGAACTAAACTAATCAAACAAGACAAAGCACCAGATAAACGAAATCAATGTCTCATGGTGTCTCTCTTCATGGCTTAGGGAGGCCTGTTCCTACGATCCAGTCTGCGTAGAGTGGGCGATTGCTGATGTTCAGCATCGGTGCTTTCTCGGAAACAACCTGACCCTCGACTATCCATCACCGCGCAAAGGCCCTTCCAGGAGGCAGCGTGATCTGCAACTGCACAAAGATTGGAATGCAGTCTTGATCATGGCTGCGGAGGATGTGCAAACATCCAGCTTAGTGATCACTTGGACCTGCTTAGTGCAAATTCAACCCCCTAGAGTCTTAGGGCCTAATGTCTTACTGGATTTGCCATACGTTGCAACCCTTCTCATGGTAACGAGATGGACGACCAGTGTCCAGCCACGGACTACAAGTGTCCGGTCCTGCGGTTCGGAGTGTGCAACAACGGCTTCCCTGCCCTAAACCCTAAACCCTAAACCCTAAACCGCTAAACCGCTAAACCTCTAAACCCCTAAACCCCTTAAGCCCTTAAGCCCTAAACCGCTAAAGTCGGGCCCTAGACAGGGCTCAGCAGCAAGAGCAGCAGAATCAGGATCTGTAGATCTTCTAGACCTCGTACCCCCTAAGACGGATGTTCGAGTTTTGTGGCGGTTCCTCAGGAAAGGGTGTCGTATATAGGGTACTGTAGTTATTCCAGGCAGACACCTTGTATAATTTTGGTGCTTGAGTCCCAGAGTAAGTATGACAGACGGAATGGGACACATCTTCAGACATTTCCATCCCGACTCGCTGCAGCATGAGCATTTCTGTTCACTTCTGGTCCTGCTAGTCCTATGCTAAGTTATCAGTCCAGTGAAGCTCAGATTACTCAGCAAAGTTAACTGCATAGGCAGTAGCAGTGCGTCAGTGAGTTCCAACCGGTGAGTGGAAGTTCCAGTTGCACATGTCCATGTTAAGTTGGGCTGAGGGTTTATTATTCAGGAATTAGCCATACGGCACACCCATTCTGGGCGTGTGAAGGCAGATCATCCTATAGAAGATGTGGAGAGCAGCTGCACGTGGCTCCTAAACTCCTAAACCTTAAACCCTCTCTCTTGATTCTGAGCCACAGCCGCCAGGCCCTCTTGCCAGGCCTTGTCCGCTCAAAGATAGGAGCGGAGAATTCGACTGCCCCTCTTTTCGTCAGATCCCATGTCCCCAAGGGTTGAGATATTCAGGGTCTACCTAGACCTCCAAAAGCATGTACCAAAAATAGCCCCTTTATGGGCTTTGGGCCATTATTTCACGTACTTTCGGTGTGTTTGGGCAAACCAAAACCTGAAAATCTGAAGCCCTAAACCTTAAACGCTAAGTGCCGAGGAGTTAGGGTTCTTGGGTTAAGGGGCTCAGGGCTACGAGCTTCAAGGGTGCCATGAGGGCTTCGAGGGTTTAGACGGCTTAAGGTTAAGGGTTTAGGGTTTAGGGTGTAGAGGAGGTACAAGAATGGCCCAAAACCACAACGAGGCTATGATTCTGCCTACTTTGGGGATTCAGGTAAACCCTAAACCCTAAACCCTAAATCCTAAACCCTAAACCGAGGCCAAAGGGACCAATTCAGGCTGGCCTTCTTGGCTTGCTCTGGTGGTTTCTTTCAACCCTAAGCCCTGAACCCGGGAACCCCAAACTTGACTGCCCTGTACGGTTTAGGGTTTAGGGTTTAGGGTTTAGGGTTTAGGGTTTAGGGAAGCTGGGGGAGAGAACTGGGGCACGGCGTGTTCGGAAAGTTTACACTACGTAACCTTTAACCTTTTGGGGCTTATCGAATCCTTAAACCCTAATCCCTAAAATCTAGAGCACCAACGAAGTCCTTCCCAACACCCCAGGGTTTTGGGTTCAGGGTTTGGGGTTCAAGATTTAGGGTATGCTCCCAACTAAGCACCTACCCAAATAGTAGGGGCTTAGATCCCCAAAACCGTACTCTGAACTTGAATGGTGTTCGGCACTTGAACCCTCACTATTTGGATACTTGGACCCTGTATTATCAAAGATATATGTACTAATTTAAACAGGAATGATAATACTAAGAAAATACGAATAGTAATGATACTAGCAAGTCATGCTACTGATAACAGTAAAAGCAATAGTGATGATCGTAATAACAGAAACAATAGTAGCAGCACCAGTAGCAATCATACCAACAACAGAACATTAATATAGAAGCCTAAATTTAGGCTACTATATTAATGATACTGTAACAATTACCAATATTACTGTTAAGGTTCGTTATTTAAATTTCAAAATAAAGAAGCCCGAAGCCCTATTC